TAACAGAGTATTCCTACACTCTGGTACTTCTACTTTAACTCAAGTACAAGATCTGAGTACTTCTACTTTTACTCAAGTACAAGATCTGAGTACTTCCATCTCTACCCATGACTTAAAGTAACTTTCCACTCTCCTGAGCTGTCAATTAAATGTTGAGTAAGCTAACATAGTCATTTCCCATATTCTTGTAAATATCAAATACAGGTATAAAGCTATTTAAATTAGTTTAAACATCCTTACACTTGTACTAGTTATTCTACCACCTTTGGTATCTTTTTCACAGACAAATCATTAGGTATGAAGGAATGGTGTTGGCCTATGTTGAAATCAAATAATCTCAACGTGGAGAAAGCATGCCAAATTAAAGATGAGGCAAAGTTGATCCTATAATAGGATGCACTTTGCTCTATTGGGCGTGTGCTTGTGGTCATGAGCAAGGCAGCATTACATTTAAATGGCTGTTTGGCGGGAGAATCTCTACGCATCAGAATGGAATGTTACTCTTCTGGTACTTTAGTAGAGTCCCTTAAAACCAGAGGTGGAAGAAGTACATAAGTCAAGTAGCAATACAACATTGTAAAAATACTCTGTTGCAAGTGCAAGTCATGCATTCAAATGTCAGTCAAGTAAAAGTACAAAAGTAGTGGCATTTTAAAATATACTAAAAGTACAAAAAGTAGTCATTTTGCAGTATGGCCCATATCAGATCTAAACATTTTTGTATTATAATTAGTATTATTAATGTTGCACTTGGTAAAGGTGGGGATTATTTACTTGAAATACTGCTGGGTAGCTTAACCTTCACAAATACATCAGGTTTGTTGGTTGATTTGTATTCTGTATTATAAATTCATGCCTGACAGTAGCGAGTAAATAAAGTAAAAAGTTTCAAAAATGTAGAAAAAGTAGCATAACATGAAAATACTCAAGTGAAGTACAAGTACCTCATAATTGTACTTGAGTAAATGCCATTCAGAGATTGTTATATTACCAGCATAATGGTAGGAAAATACGGCTTAACTTATGTGAACGAAATGTATGAGAATGGGTGTCGGTGACCTCTAAATCCTCTTGTGTGTGAAATATATTTGAATATTTTGTGTTTCCAGTGTTTCAGACGGGCATGGTGGGCTATCCTGAGGCTCTCACTGACCCCTCCTACCACTGCCAGCTGCTGACCCTCACCTACCCTCTGGTGGGAAACTATGGCGTACCGAAGGACGAAGAGGGAGAGTTCGGACTGAGCAAGGTGGGCAGATTTATTTGGGCTTTTTTGCGATAAAACTAAGTAACGTGTAGCGACTTCAGGAAGCCATAAGTAGCTGAGAGGCTGAGGTCAGACCTGGTTGCGTTTGTTAGTCAAAAATGAATGCAGAGATCCAGAAATATGTAAAACAATATCTTACTTTAATAAAAAAAAACCTCTCTCCCTCAGTCTCGCATGTACCCATGTGACCCAACTAATCCAACCCATAATTGATCATAAAATAATAAACAATAATTATAATACAAACAAAGACCGAAACCAAAGTATAACCAATCAAAAACCTTATTAAATCTATGAAGCAAGTTACAACTTTCTAATTGTAATGGCTCCTACATGCATACATACACCAGAAGGAAGAACCTGGATTTTCCTTCGTCTCTACAATGATAGTATTTATTCACCTAACGCCACATACTGATGTGTTTTCTTGTATTTGTGTTGTCCTAATCAGTGGTTCGAGTCGTCAAAGATCCACGCTGCAGCTCTGATTATCGGGGAGCTGTCGGACAGTCCCAGTCACTGGAGTTCAGTCAAGTCTTTGGACCAGTGGCTGAAGGAGCAAGGCATTCCTGGAATACAAGGTGAGGAAATGTAACTCTGGAACTGATAACATAATGCAGAATTAAACACTTTGAATTGATTCAAATTGGGACAGATGTTGAGGATAACTATTTCAAACCTCATTCATAACAAGAAATAATCAGAGACGCAAAACCACAAGTACAACGTTTTAATGATCCGTTGTTTCCATGTTCTCCAGGCATTGACACCCGCCGCCTGACCAAAAAGATCAGAGAGAAGGGCACCATGTTGGGGAAGCTGGTTGTGGACGGGATCCCTGAGGACAGTATTCCCTTTGATAATCCAGACAAGAGGAACCTGGTTCAGGAGGTCTCCATGAAGGTAACCCCCCCCCC